CCCCCTCTTGTATTTATGAAGAAATTCTTCAGATTTTACTACCTGGTGTAACCCAAGCCACCTTCTCAGGCTTCTGCCCTGAACCTATTCCAAGTGCCAAGGGGAACGTGGCCCAGCGAGATGAAGGAAAAGAAAACGAAGGGAAGTCCCTCTTTAACTCCAGCTCCCCTTCAGATCTGGACAGGGAGGGGATCCAGTCAGTTTCACTGCTTTTCTTGCTCAAGAAGCCAAGGAAGGCTTTGACAGCAGTGCGGATGAATCCAGGCCAATTCTAACCGTGTAAGGAAAGAATAAATCCATTGCAACTCTTCTCTGCCCCCCAGAGTTCCCGACAAAAGGAACGAAAGAAAGACTTACTAAAAGGATGCCCGACATGATCCACGTCTGACAGAGGCGGAACTTCAAAGTTTGATCGAGCCCAGGAGGAAACACAAGTTGGTTATACTGGATGATGACCGAGGCCAGGCAGATGGCTGGGGAAATGGCAGTTCCAACCAGAAGGCCGGCCAGGCGCTTCCAGAAGGACCTCATGGCGCCTTATCTGGGGCAGAAAGGTCCTCCTTCTCCCAACCTGTCCTTAGCGACTGCGAAGAGCCCAGTGGCCGATCCATGGGAAAATAGATGGGTTGGTATTGATTAGGAGAAGGTAAGCCTTTTCCTCCCCGCCCATCTTGGACACACCTACACAAAGGACCGGCCAGTGAGGACGATCTCCATTGGATCGATTCTTGTCTTCCATAACAGGATTGTTTCTGGTTAGGAAATCCAGTCGGAAAGAGGAGGCCTCTCCGTGCATGGATTTCTCCGTAGCCCCACCTCTTCTCGGTTCTCCTTCCACCAGCCAGAGCTCAAAGTCCTAACCCGGTTATTATAAGGGTTTAATCCCCAACGTTGTGCAGCAGCTGGCTCCGTTCTTGTTTCCTCATGGGGCAATGGTGCCAGGGTTGGAAAGGAATCAATGGATTGTGGGTTACATATAGAGATGCTTTTGGGGGCGGGGAGGCAGCCTACCCCAAAGGGGACGTGAAGAGCCCCCAGTTCATGGGTAGGTGTGCGGGATCCAGATTGGAACAACAATACCCAATGGGCACAAAGGATAACACTGTGTCATGCCCCTGTCGGAGTCTGAATCCTCGGCTTACAATGGCTCATTTAGTGACCGTTCAAAGTCACAAAAAGGGGGCCGTTCTTCCCACTTACAACATCCCTGGGTACCACAAAAAAGGGGGGGGGGACTGTCATGCCCCTGTTGGAGTCTGAATCCGAGAAGGAAGCTGAACAGCTGACAGGGAGCGGGAGTGGGGCTCCGTTGGCTGTGGAGGAAACTGGGGAAGGGCAAAGTCCGGCTGGGCAGAGCAGGGGAGAGGGAATTCAGAGGAACACTCAGGCCCACCCACCCCTCTTCATCCTAGGGCACGCAGGAAGGAATGGAGAAGGGAGCAACGTGGGTTGCGTGACTTATGGGGGTGGAGAGGGCCCTGATTCCCTTCAATAGCCACAACTGGGAATGAAAGTTTAAGAGAGATGCAAGCTGAGAGCGGCGTCAGCTGGGAGCAAACGTGACTTTATCCTGTGTTGTCTTTGCTTATCTGTGTTCCTGGTGTTTTCCCAACCATGTGAGTTTTGCCGTGCTTTCAAGTCTGAAATTCTTGCTCCTGTCCTGCCAAACTAATTACTTCAGTTTTGTTTGTTTGGACTTTTAAGTTACAGTTTGTGTTTGCTCTGTTTTGGACGTAATTTTCTGCAGTCAAAGGCTGTTCCTGGGAGCCATTGGGGACACTGGGGGCAAAGTTGGAGATAATAAATGGACTCATTGATTATCTGACTGTACTGCCTTTGTGCCAGGCCCTGGGTCATCACACATTGTGGAGTGGTGTGATGGTTGCCTCACAGTCAGGAGGCTGTGAGTTGGATCCTAGATAGGCGGATATTTCTCTCTCTCTGGTCACATTGAGAATATATCTGCTGATCAAAACTCATTGGCAACCAGAAGGGCATCTGGCCATTAAAACACCCTGCTAGCTCCATTCAGTTTCACCCTACAACAATTATGGGGTTGTTAAATGAGGATGACCAAAGATAGCATTGTCCATTCTCTCATCCCTCAGCGAGGATGGAGGCCTTCTCCTCCCCACCCATTGGGGAGACCCCCTACAAGAGGGACCAGGCAGCAGGGAAGGTCGGATGGGAGGTGCCATTGAATGGATCCTTGGCTTTCTATAATAAGATTATTTCCGATTAAGAAGTACAGCTGGGAAGAGACGGAAGACCTTCTTAGTGCGCGGATCCGACAGATTTTGTCTGTGAGCCAACGTCTCCTCCTTTCATCACCTGGACGCCAAAAGTCTAACGCGGTTATTATAAGGATTTAATCCCCAATGTTTGGCTCCTTCCTCATTTCCTGACGTTGCAATGGTCCATGAATTGTGGGTCATGTGTGGGGCTATTTTGGGGGGCCCTGAGTCCTAGAACAGCCTACCTCAAAAGAGATGGGAAGAGCCCCGAGTTCAAGGAGTAGGCATGGGATCCAGATTGGAACAAAAAACTTGGCAAGTTTAAGACGTGGTCCACAAGTCTTAAAACTTGCCACGTTTGAAGGCCCTTGGTCTAGGGTCCCCCGCGTGAGCGTTTCAATCAGAATAGAGCTAGAAAGGACCCTGGAGGTCTTCTAGTCCAACCCCCCTAGATGCCGTATAATTCCGGACAAACACCTGTCCAGTCTCTTCTTAACAGCCTCCAGTGATGGAAGCACCTACAGCTTCTGGTGGCCAGCTGTTCCACTGGTTAATTGTTCTCCCTGTCAGGAAATTCCTCCTTCTTTCTAAGTTGCTTCTCTCCTTGGTTAGTTTCCATACTTAGTTTCCCGTTCTGCCTCCAGGGGCTTTGGAGAATAGCTTGACTCCCTCTTCTTTGGGGCCAGCCCCTTAGATATTGGGAGCATGATTAGAAAAAGTAACTCTTTGTCCTGGGACTAATGATACGGTGTGGGCCAGAAGGCTTAATCATGGCCATAATCCTGCAATCCTCAATTTGTACGGAGGGCTGATAGGATAAGAGAATGCAATATTCTCTAATATCAGCACACCATGTGAAATCAACAGGTACCTGAGCGTTGGTGAGGATTACGACATGCCCTGCCAGCCAATTCCCACAGGTGATATTTGTGGGGAGGTGTTCTCCTACCCAGCATAGAAATAACGATCAGCTTTGCAAACCACAGGAACACACGGTGTACTCCTTGTGGTAGCTGCACGTGCCCTGTATGTTGACCCCGGATTGAGGTTGTCCCCAAGGGAGGTAAACAGAAGTAGAAATCGAAACTGTAAAGAGAAAACGAACAAGAGTCATGGTGGCGCAGTGGTTAAGAGGGCGCAGGATGGCAGGCTAACTGTGCCCACAGCCAGCAATTCAATCCTAGCCAGCTGAAGGTTGACTCAGCCTTCCGTCCTCCCGAGGTCGGTAAAACGAGGACCCAGATGATTACGGGGCAATAGTCTCACTCTGCAAAACGCTTAGAGAGAGCTGTGAAATACTGTGAAGCGGTAGATCAATCTAAGGGCTATTCTGTTCTATTTTATTCTCTATTTTCTATATTCTATTCTGCATTTTATATTCCATTTTATTCCCTATTTTCTGTTCTACTGTTCTAAATTTTATTATTCCATTCTGCATTCTATTCTATATTCTATTCTTATTCTAAATTTTGTTATTCTATTTTCTATTCTATATTTTGTTATTCTGTTCTATTCCTATTCTATTCTGCATTCTATTCTATATTCTATTCTAAATTGTATTGTCCTGTCCTCGCTCAGCCGATTATCCCGCCTAGGTGGCTCAGTGGTCAGAATGCAGGATTGCAGACTAATTCTTCCGACTGCCGGCAGTTCGATGCCGATTCAGATTGTTGGGGGCAAGACATGGACTTTGCAGACTGCTTGGCGACTCCGCCTCTTGCCCCCAACAATCTGGGTCCTTATTTGACCCACCTCAGAAGTACGGAAGGCTGAGCCAACTTTGAGATGGTCAGGATCGAAGTGCTGGCATCTGGCAGAGTTAGCCTGTAATCCTGCATTCTAACCACTGCGTCCCCACGGCTCCAAAGTCCCTATTTTCAGTGCCATTGTAATTTCAAATGGTCACTAAACTGTGTTGTTAAGTCGAGGGCTACCCAGGGAGACATCATCCCATTCTCAGGAAGATCTCAAGTTGAAGGGCGATGTAGTGTAAAGTCTCGGTTTGGAAAAATTGGAGCCTTGTCCACAGAAGAGAGATCAGAACATTCGTTTTAATTCTGTGGCACCTACATACCACATCTTACAACCAGCCTGAGGCATGGCATTACAAAAGCAAAGGTATTGCAAGAGAAAACAGCAAGGCTGGTTTCCCCATCGTGCCCACAATGCCAGCTTCACCGGGCGAGCGACATACAGAAGCACAAACACACACAAAATTAGCAACCTGGATTTTCCAGAACGATCTCCAACACCAGCCTGAAGGCATGCAGGAAATTAAAATAAAATAAATTGAATCACGCATTTATTTTGTCTTTGATCTGCCGGGATGCCACAACAGGGTATTGAAACTCAGCCAGGCTTACATTTAACAAGTCGCTGCCAAACTGTTAAAAGGAGTTTTATTATCACGTTTTTCATCTTCAACATAACGCAATTCTGCGGCGAGAAAAGTAAAATGTAAAACTCCGGCAAGGCACTACAGGCAGTTTTGGTCACCATGATACCAACAAAATTGGAGACCGGAAAGAGTGCAGAGAAGAGCAACGAAGAGGACTAGGGAATGGGACATGGAAGCAGTCACCCAATATTTGAGGGGAAGACTGCTATCACGTCACCTACAACCAAGTAAGAATTTTATGATCGTGAGAACAATCCACCAGCACAACAACTTGCCTGGACCTACATTCATGTGAGTGGAAGAGGTGGCATGCTGCTCACATAAATGGAGTTGTGCGTGGGCGCCCGTCACTCCCACTTTTTCTCTCTCTCACACACAGTCACACCCACACCAGGCAAGGTCACCAAGCTGGAAAGGCAAACAAAACACGAGAAGGAGGCTGTTGGGTTTCTAGTACCGTTCGAGGAATTGGATTATGCTTTTGAGACTACTCTTAGTCCCGGGAAACTCCAGGGGGCCAAACCCTAGGAGTAACAAGATCCCGTGGAATCCATCCTCCAGGTGATGCCAGGTGACGGACACGCCATTGTCTTCCAGCCGTTTCTTGTACAGCAAGCCTTCGTCTCGTAAAATGTCGTACTCGCAGGTTAAAAGGAACGTCTCTGGAAACTGTCGTAGGATGGCGTCCTCCGTCAGGAGTGGTGAAAACGTGGCCTCGAAAATTGCCGCGCATTCTTTGAAAAGAGCCTCTGAAAAGCGCCCAGGTACGAACGGCACGTAACCTCGGGCTTTAAATTCTTCCGGAATAAGTTCGGCGCTGATCCATTTCTGGTACTTGATCCTGAGCTTCTCCGGGACATGAGCGTTGAACATCACTGCATCAGCACCCAAGGTGTTTCTGGTGAGATAGAACTTGCCAAAATGGATGATCTGTGTCTTGAATAAAGGGGGCACCCATTGGTTTTGCTGGTAAGAAGGCAGGTTGAAATCCAGAGCTTGGAGGAAAGGGTAAGCGAGCACGTGGGCCCGGACCTGGGGCAGGTCCTCTCTGAGCACGAGTTGTTGAGAAATGGCCGCCACGATGGCGCCTCCAGTGCTGTCCCCACCCAATACGATCCGCTGAGGGTCCATGCCGAAGTCCCCCGCGTGCTTCAAAAAGTACAATACGGCCACATAGCAGCTGTGCTGTTGAGCTGGGTAGGGGTGCTCCGGTGCCAAGGGATACCTAAACCAACAGTGAGTGAAAAGGAAATCTTTCAAATGCATTGGCCTTCCTATTATTATTAGTAGTAGTAGCGGTATAATCCTTTTATTCATTAAACATGAAACTCAGTCAACAGAACATTTAAAAATGTATCAAAAAATATAATTGACTGGTGCAGATAGTTCATACGGCTTGCTGCCAGCATCCTAGGTATCAACCAAATTATTATTGTTATTGTTGATTTAATCTTTAATTAGATTAACAATCTGGGACTGGTAAAAACTGAACAATTCAACTTTCAAGCTCAAAATTGACATTTGCGTAGCCATTTTATTTAGCCTTACTATATATTCCTTTTCTTTCTTTCTCTTTGCTGGTTATGGGGTGGAAGGGTTTCAGGCTTGCCACATTCCTAAGCAGGGAGGAGTGGAGAGAGAGAGAGTTGTTTAGGCTAGGTGGTTCTCCTTCCCGTGGGAACGAAAGCTGACCCTGCTGAGACCTGGAGGCAGAGATTGAGGACCTCAGGCAAAGGTTGATTTACTTCTATTGGGGACTGTGACTTTTGGGGGTTCTGTTTCTAATTTCCAACATTATGTGGGGTAATTATGTGGGGTTGGGTCAGATCCAGAATTACAACAGACTTTGCCAATTGGTTGCTTTCCTAAATAAAAGAAATTAATTTTGGGAGACAGGACTTTGCTCTTTTCTTTTGAAATGGATTTTACCGCTTGGAAACCTGACCAAAGATCTAAAACCTATTAAGGTAATTTCTCCGTATATAGACACTTCGGACTAAGGTAGTGGTTGCTGCTGCTGCTATTGTTGTTATTATTATTATTATTATTATTAGTAGTAGTAGTAGTAGTAGTAGTAGTAGTAGTAGTAGTAGTAGCATTAATAATAATAGAGGATGTAGCAGTTTTATTTTGAATTTCCTGTGTCAAAAATCATCATTATTATTATTATTAGCATTAGTAACAATAATAATAAAGATGACCATTTTATTTTGAATTTCCCCTGTTACCAAATGAACCTGAGCTCTCTTACCCGATAGCTAGGACTACGGTGGCACTTTCCTGGGCGAAGAATCGACACAGCCTTTCGTGGCTTTCTGAAACAGTAAATATTATCTTACAAATCTGAATACATCCATTTTTTCCCCATTTATCTCAAACATTTCTCTGGACCTTTGTCGATCAATCTTTTTTTTTTTAATTATTTTTTTACAAAAAGTTTATTACGAGTCAAAGAGCAGAGACCGGGGGGAAAATCGAAAACACTCAAAGCCACGACGGTCGTCGGTATGAGTCAGGTTTGCATTTTGATCACGGGACCCTGGAAAGAGCCCTAAGTGGAAAGAATGCCCCACCGCCACTTTTGTGATTTTGAATGGTCCCTAAATGAGCTGTTGTAAGCCGAGGACCATCCGTATTTGGAGAACTTACCTAAGCCTCCGAAAATGCCCCCTCCTCCGTGAATCCACACAAGTCCCCTCCTCTTCTCAGGACTTGGAGTTTTGGACTGGTAGATCCTCACCGGCACGGTGTCAAAAAGAGTTTCCTTGATGCTCAAGTCACAGGGCCCCGGTGGAAATACCCCGTTGATCAGGAACCTCCGTACCACAAAGTCATTGCAGATGCCCAGTTTTTCCAGGATCACAGCCTGCTCGGTGCAAAAAAAATAATTAAGGAAGAAACCACATGGAAAGATTC